GTGATTTTCCCTTTTAATAAATAATACTTTAATTGGAGAATTCTGTCTAAGCGTTAATTCTTAGATCCCTCGGCCTCTTGGTATACACGTGGGAGATGGTCTCGCAGGGTCCTTGTAGCCAACCCCCTCTCAGTTTGAGCTAAATAAAATCCCCATAAGAACAACAACATGGGGCTTGAGTCATGGGAAGATTCATGATTGAACTTGGACAAAAGATTATATGAATAGTTGATGGATTGATTTCTGAATCTTTGTGTGTCTGTGTTTGTGCCTTCAGCTTATGCCAACCCCATTAATTTCATGGGGATTTCTTAGACAAGGAATACTCAGAGCTGGTTTTGCCAATTCCTTCTTCTGAAATATATCCTTAGAAGTTATTACCTGGCCTTGCATACCCTTTTGTTGGACATATATAAAATAATAATTAATATCTAGCACAGAGTAAGACTGGAAATAATGATAAAGGACTGATATGTGTTTTGGGGCAACTAGAAAAGCACCAGTGTCAGATCCCATTCATTAGACCATGCCAAGCATAGAGAGAACAAAGCACCATGGGTTTCATAGAATCATAGAGTTGGAAGAGACCACAAGGGCCATCCAGTCCAACCCCCTGCCATGCAGGAACTCAAAATAAAAAAAAGACAGTACCCCCTACCTGCTTATTTTGCATTTGCTAGAGACAGCATGGCTCAGTGGTTTGAGTATTGAGTTATGACTCTAGAGACCAGGATTCGATTCCCAGCTTGGTCATGAAGCCCATTGGGAGACCTTGAGCAAGTCACATGCTCTCCGCCTCAGAGGAAGGCAATGGCATACCTCCTCTGAACAAATCTTGCCCAAAAAAAACCCAAGACAGGTTTGTCTTAGAGTTGTCATAAGTCAGAAACAACTTGAAGGCACACAACAACAACAACAACCATGAGAAAGGAAACAAAGACAGCAAAAGGAAGGTATTTGTCAAGATTGACCAGACCCCCTATTATTCCTTTTGAACTTCCCCCCTGCCAATTTCCCCTGCCTGTCTGATCATCAAAGGTTTGTTTCAGATCTTATCAATACAAGTAACATCGTAGTGCTTAAACTCTTTGAGTTTTCTGGAAAATTTGTCTGTTTCCAGGAAAACCTAAAAGCATTCATTCATTCATAGTATTTATATCCTGCTCTTCTGCCACAAAGGCTCTCAGAGCACTTAAACATTATTAATTAGACAGTTCCCTGCCCTCAGGTTTACAGTCTGAAAAAATACATGACACAAAAGGAGAAGGGAATGACAGTGGGAAAGGGATCAAGACCAGCAAATACTGCCCAGTTCTCTCCCTCCAAGGCAAGGGAAATGGCTGCTGGAATGAAGGGAGGGCCTTTTATCTGCCTCTGGGGTTAGGCATGGAGGAGCTGCACCTGCCTCTCCTTCTCTTCCTCCAAGGCCAGGGTGGTAGCAGTTAAGATGGAGGGAAGACCTTTCA